TGATGATGATGATGATGTGGTTCCTGATGCTGATTATGATGTTTATGATGAGGATGAGGATGATGATGATGATGATGATGCTGCTGCTGCCGATGATGATGATGATGACGATGATGACGATGATGATGATGATGATGATGATGATGATGATGATGATGATCATGATGATGATGATGATGATGATGAGGAGGATGATGATGACGATGATGATGATGATGATGATGATGATGATGATTATGATGATGATGATGATGATGATGATGATGATGTTGATGGTTATTCTAATGCTGCTGATTCTGATGATGATGATGGCGATGGTGATGGTGATGGTGATGATGGTAATGATGATGCTGCTGCTGATGATGTTCAGGAGGAGGAGGGGCATGAGGATGACGAGGATGAGGATGAGGATGATGATGATGATGATGATAATGTGAGGATGAGGATGATGAGGATGATGATGATGATGATGATGATGATGATGATGATGATGATGATGATGATGGTGTGTGGTGGTGGTGGTGGTGGTGGATGATGAGGAGGAGGAGGAGGAGAGGAGGAGGAGGAGGAGGAGAGGAGGAGGAGGAGGAGGAGTGGGAGGACAGGAGGAGGAGGGAGGAGGAGGAGGAGGAGGAGGAGGAGGAGGAGGAGGAGGAGGAGGAGGAGGAGGAGGAGGAGGGGGAGGGGGAGGAGGATGATGAGGAGCAGGATCACGCTACCGTTGAGCCAGAAGCCCCGCTGCCGTCGGGCGCCGCTTGGCGCTCTGCCAGTGAGAGTGCCGAGTCGTTTTGCGCGTCGCATCTTCAGGCAGGTGAAGGCCTTCGAGTCCACGCGGGCATGGAGCAGTCTGAGCGCCCAGCGGCGCGAGGGTTTGCTACCTCTGGCGGCCCTGGCGCTGGTGCCCTCTGGATCCATGTGTCCACGCATCTGACGGCCCACTTCCCCACGGCGCTCTTCAGGGCTGGCACGTGCGCTGTCTGCGCCTGCAGGGGTGACGTGCCCGATTCGGTGCAGAGGCGGTGACTGCTAGGATGTCTGCGGCCAGCAGCTGGATCGCAGCCTCCGGCACCCCTAGCTTTGCAAGCAGGGCCCGGCCCGGATGAGACCGCACCGCGCCCTGGCGCCGACTCCGGCCCGCCTGCTGCGGAAGTGCCGCGCGGGGGTCGACATGCAGCGCGCCAGCACCCAGCTCGAGCGGGTCACTCCGGCCAGCAGGGTCTGGGAGGCGATCTTGGACCTGGTGGTCACGCTCCCAGGCCCGGTATGACAGCTCAGCATGCACATCCGCAGCTTGCTGGGCCCGTCGCCTTCTTCTCTCTGTCGGTCCTGGTTGCTCGGTCGGGCCCTTTCGCTCGTTCCGCTCCGGGTCCTTTGGTCCGCCCTTCGTTTCGGTTCGGCCCCTCGGGCCCTCGTTGGCTCGGGCCTTCACGGGGTTCGCGCAGTTATTCTTACCCGCGCACGTATAAGAAAAAAACGCTCTGCATTGACGTGGCCATTCGATGCCCGCACGCTGTGCGGGACCTGCGAGCTGCGTCCGTGGCGGGTGACGTGGCAGCCGCGGCAGCCACCGACGAACACCCGCGGAGTTGGAGCGCGGCTCTCCCCGTGGCTTTGACACCCTATGGTCGCCTTTGCGCTGATGCTGTCCGGTCGCTGAATCATCTGGCCAAGCATGCTGGGGCCTGCGTCGCCGACGCTTGGCCCCCAGGCTGGTGCCACGGCGGTCCGCGCTGGGACGCATCACCCAGTGGGCGGCTGCAGTTAGTGACCTCCTCGCCCTCGGCTGCGCCCTGACTGCCGCCCGGGTCTGGCTGGCTTTAGGCCTGGTGACGGGCGCAGCGGTGCAGCCGTGGCGGCCGCAATTCTTGTATATTTGCATGTGTTTGACCAGAGTTCGCTTCCAGTTGGTGTCTAGCAGGAGCAGGAGGGGGAAGAGGACGAAAGGAGTGTGGATGTCGAGGGGGAGCGCAATATTATGATGCGTACTGGAGGGTTAGGATGATGACGACGATGATGATGGTGGTGGTGCTTATGCTGCTGTTGCTGCTGCTGATGGTTGTGATGGTGAGGACGACGCTTATGTTGGTGCTGCCTGTGGTGATGCGTTCGGTGGATGCCTGGAGAGTTCCAAACGGTCGTTGGGGACGTGAGCTATGACCCGAATGCCAGACGCGCCTTCGCAGGGTTGCGTGCGCCAGAGTAGTGGCAGACGTGGTGGTCGTTCGCACGGGTTGAGCACTCGCGGGCCAAGGTGTGTGGGCGTCGGGGCCAGAGAGGCAGCAGGAGGGGAACATGGACGAGGAGGAGGAGGAGATGGATGAGGAGCAGGAGGAGGAAGGATGAAGAAGGATGATGATGAGGAGGAGTAGGAGGAGGAAGAGCAGGAGGAAGAGGAGTGAGGTGGAGTTGGGGAGGACGACTGGGAGCAGGAGGAGACGGAGGACAAGGGTGATGATACTGATGATTCTGATGCTGAGGATGATGATGATGAAGGGTATAAAGGTGATGATGATGGTGATGATGATGACGATGACGACGATGACGACGATGATGCTGATGATGATGATGGTGATGATGTTGAGGAGGATGACGAGTGATGATGAGGATGTTGATACTGCTGATTCTGATGATATTTGTGATGGTGGTGATGATGATGACGAAGCTGCTGCTGTTGATGATGATGCTTATGCTGATAATGATGATGCTGATGATGCTGCTGATGCTGACGATGATACTGCTGATGATGATTATGATGATGAGGATTCTGATGCTGATGATGATGATGTTGATACTGCTGATGATGATGATGATTATGATGATGAGGACGATGCTGATGAGGATTTTGATGATGGCGATGATGATGATGCTGATGCTGATGCTGATTTTGATGCTGATGATGTTGATCCTGTTGAGGATGATGATACAGATGCTGATGCTGATGCTGATGCTGATGCTGATGCTGATGAGGTTCGATGGTGCTGATGATGAATATGATGATGCTGATGCTGATGATGCTGTTGATGGTGATGATGAGGATGAGGATGAGGATGGTGTGGATGAGGATGGGGATGATGATGAGGATGCTGATAAGGATGATGATGCTGATGATGATGATGATGCTGATGCTGATGATGATGCTGCTGCTGATGATGATGATGATGATCATGATGGTGATGATAATGATGATGATGATGATGATGATGATGATGATGATGATGATGATGATGAGTTGATGATGCTGCTGATGCTGATGATGCTGATGATGATGCTGCTGCTGCTGCGGATGATGATGATGATGATGATGCTGATGATGACGATGTTGATGCTGATGCTGACGATGATGCTGATGATGTTGATGATGTTGATGATGCTGATGCTGATGCTGATGCTGCTGATGCTGATGATGATGCTGATGATGATTATGATTATGATTCTGATGCTGATGATGATGATGGTGATGATGATGATGATGATGATGATGATGATGATGCTGATGCTGATGCTGATGATGATGCTGATGCTGATGCTGCTGATGATGATTATGATGATGATGGTGATGGTGCTGCTGATGATGATGATGATGATGATGATGATGATGATGATGATGATGATGACGAAGCAGAGGAGGCGATGGAGACATGAGGGTTTTGGGAGGTCTCCACCGTGGACGCCGCGGAGGTGGAAGATGCGCCCAGGAGGGCGGAAGGCTACGAGAAGGTCGGCCCTCCCCCGCCACCTGATCGATATAGCCATCGCCGTCCTGCAATCACCTCCGTAATGAAGCTGCTGTGCAGCTGGCACGGAGGTACACTGAAGGTCGGACAGCACGGTCGGCGCCTGCACCGACACCAAGGCTTCCCTTCTCCTCCTCTTCTTCCTTCTCCTCCTCTCCTCCCCCTCCTCCCCCTCCTCCCCCTCCTCCTCCTCCTCCTCCTCCTCCTCCTCCTCCTCCTCCTCCTCCTCCTCCCCCTCTGTGCACGGAGTTATACGGTCGGAGAGAGGCATAAGATCGAGGTCTGTTCGGTGAGGAGGTTCTTCGTCTGTTGGATGATCTTGTGCATCCTGGGGGAGGGTATCCTCGAGTGATCTTATGGTTTGGGGTATTTTGGCCGGCGGAGGGCCTCACGGTCCAGAAAGGGTGCTCTTCTGTCTTGGGTCCGGCCGTACAGTTGGCGTACAACCACGAAGTTGGTTGGTGCGAGAGAGGATCGACATTTTTTCTTGTCTCGGAGCTTACTCAGCGGTTTCGTGGTGAATCAGTCCTTGAGGCTTGCTCAGCCTGAAGCCCGAGCTGATATGACTACGGGTGTTTGCAGTAACAGCCGACCATCACCTACATCCAGTACCCTGTCAGTTGAGCACGCTATATTTGTGGAGGTGTGCCCTTGTTGCGAAGGCCTTGCGGTCGGTGCCACCGATCGTGTTCGCCAGGACAAGGGGGTGGGGAGTGAGGACCAGAAAGAGGAAGGGGAGGAACAGGAGGATGAGGAGGAGGAAGAGGAGCAGGAGGAAGAGGAGGAGGAGCACCAGGAGGAGGAGGAGGAGGAGGAGGAGGAGGATGAGGATGAGGATGAGGATGAGGATGAGGAGGAGGAGGAGGAGGAGGAGGAGGAGGAGGAGGAGGAGGAGGAAGAGAGCAAGTGGAGGAGGGAGGGAGGGGGGGGAGGCGGTACAGGAAGAGAGAGAGAGAGAGAGAGAATGATCAAGAGGGGGGTGAGGAAAAGAGAGGGCGGGAAGGTGTGCCCCCCCCCCCCCCCCCCCCCCAGACGATTTTCCTCGGGACCCCTCTTCTCCAGCGAAGCCCAGCGTGCCTCTGGAGTCGTGCCCCTCATCCCGGCCCCTCCCCGCCCCGCGCTGTGCGCGAGCAGGGCCCGCCCTCCTCCGGTGCCTCCCAGGGTGCACGGCGCGCTCGCCGCCCCAACACCCCTTCGGAGCAAGCGTACCTCTGGAGTCGTGCCCCTCGTCCCGGCCCCTCCCCGCCCCGCGCTGTGCGCGGGCAGGGTCCCCGCCCTCCTCCGGTGCCTCCCAGGGGTGTGCACGGCCGCGCTCGCCGCCCCGGGCACCCCTTTCGGAGTCAGCGGGACCTGCCGCGCCCGAGGATCGAGGGGTCTGCCTGAGGGCCTCCGCAGAATCAGAAGGTCGGGGAAGCGGCGCAAGCACACGAGGCTTAGTCAGGAGAGGAAGCAGCACACAGACACAATGAATCGTCGATGTCCTCAGAAGATATGGAAAAATATGATGGGAAGTGGTGGGGGAGGACAGAAACCCAGGAAATATGGGGAACTATGGGGGATCTTCTTATTGCGAAGGCCTTACGGCCGTTGCCACCGACCCTGAAGACGACGAAAGACAACACGAGGGGGGGGGCACGAGGAGGAGGAGGAGGAGGAGGAGGCGGAAGGGAGTAGGAGGAGGAAGGGTGAAGGGGGAGGAGGAGGAGGCCTTATGGATGTTGGTTGGGATCTCGTGGTTGACCTCTCGGGGGCGTCTGGAAGGCAACTTGAAGCCTCTTGTGGGCCGTTGTGGGGCCTCTTCGGGCCTCTTTTGGGCCTCTTAGGGCTTCCGGAGGCCGTCTTCGGCGCATCTTGGGGGCGTCTTGGCGCCGCTTAGGGGGCCTCTTGGGGCCTTTTTGGGGCCTCTTGGGGCTTCCCGGGGGCCTCTTAGGGCGGAAGTCTCGAATTCTCGGTTCCTCGTCCCCCTCTTGGCCGTTTCTTGGGCCTGTCTTGGGGCCCTATTGGGCCGTCTTGGGCGCCTCTTGGGCTGTCCTGGGGCCTTCTTGGGCCGTCTTGGGGCCCTCTTGTAGGCCTTTTGGTGCGCTCTTGGGGGCCTCTTGGGGGCTTCTTGGGCCGTCTTGGAGTGTCGGAAAGCCGAAAAGGCGAGAAGGCCTTGGAGATAGTTTATCGGGTTGGCCTGTCAATTTGGTGATCCGCAACCGTTGGCTCTAATCAGCCGTGCGAGCCGGTGGTTCGCCCTTCCATGGAGTGGGCGAGGGCTGCCGCTGCTGGCGCCGGCGGCTTGGCACAACTGGGCAGCCTGTGGTACGGCCAGCGCTGTACTTGCCAGGTGGAGCTGGGGGACGGGTTCGCTGTGGACCGTGAGCTGCTGCGTCTGCTCGAGGGGCAGCTGCAGAGGTGCGGGCCCGCGAACCTCACGGTGCCGGCGCCGTGCCCGCCGCCCGAGTGCTCGGGCTTTCCTGGGCTGGTGGTCTTCTTGGTGGCGGTGCTGGCTTACCTGGCAGGGTTCGCCGCTGCTGCCTCCTGTGGCTGGTGGTGCCTGAGGCGCTCGGAGGGTCGTGCCACGCCTGAGGGCTCAGGGACTCCGTGCCTGACCGACGGAAGCGATGTTAGATCAGCTTCGTCAGGGCCAGCGAGTGCTCGTCTCCTACGACGAGGACCCGCGTGAGCTGTTGTGGCATGAGCGCCTTCTGTGCGCGCACGTGCACGAAGGTTCCTGGGTGGTGACCACCCCCGAGAGAGACATGTACCTCGAGGACCTCCAGGAGGGCGTGGAGAGCCTGGTGTTGCTGGGTCCGATGGGAGGCCTGCCGATCGGCTGGAACCGTGGGCCCACGCACCTGTTCAGGAACTCGTCCCAGGGTCCGCTGCACCGTGAGGAGAGCCTGCGGCTCCAGGCGGAGGGCGCGGAGCTGGCCTTGCAGGAGAGGCGCGACCTGGGCCTGGCCGCTTCTCCGCCGCTGCCGCCGCCCACGGGCGCGCCTCCGCCGCTGGCTCTGGAGGGCGTGCCGAGCGCGGGCGAGGGAGGATGGCGGTGCTCGGAGAACCGTGGAGGCGCTAGGCTGGGCGAGCGTGTCGGCGACGCGGAGCTGGAGGCAGGCTGCCAGCGAGGGGATCGTGGAGTGGCCCTCGTGGGCGACGTCTTCGTGTCATGCGCTTTCTTCAGGCCGGGCCGGCAGATGCCTACGCCTAGGGAGGAGGAAGCGGCGGAGCCGGCGTCCAACGAGCTGCGCACCCTCCCCGTGAAGTACGAGACTGCCAGCCAAAGGCACCGCTCCTACAAGGAGGCGGCGTCGCTGACCACGACGACGGCGTTCGAGGACTGGCCGATCAGCGGCCCTAGGACGGCGGAGTGGCTGGCACGTGAGATCGCTAGACAGGAGCTCACGCCCGTGCGCCGCCACTTCTGGTGGAGACAGCTGCTAGGCTTGGGCCCCAGTGACTGGGGCGTCGGGGAGCACGAGTCCTTGAGCCGGCTCTTCGAGTACGCTCTGACTTACGACCAGCTAAACTTCGGCGAGCTTGCGTCGCTGGAGCTTGCGGGCAGGCGCTACCAGCTGCTCGAGGAAAGGTACGCCCGCATGCTCATCGCGGCAACGGCGGGCGGCGACAGCGGCCACCTCGACGACGACAGGCTGTTCATGGGCGAGGAGGGCCGCCGTGGCCGTGCTCTCGTGGCGCCTGCTCTAGAGTCTTGGATTTCCCAGAAGCTGTCCGAGGAGAGCGCGGTGCTCAAGGAGCGCCGCAAGGCGAAGGAGGAGCGGCAGCTGGCCCGCTCGACCGATGCTGCTCCAGGTGCTGGAAGCGGCAAGAACGACGAGAAGCCCCCCAGGCGCCCGAAGAAGAATGGTGGCGGGCCGGGGGGTGACGCTGCTTGAGCTGCCACGGGCGGCGGAGGCCCCCGGCCGCCGCCCATTCTGCAGAGGGGAGGGCTGCCCGCTTGAGGAGGATGGCGGGCCGCCTCGGTGTTGCAGGTGAAGGCCTAGACTGGGCTCGGGACTTGCTGCCGCTGCCATCTGGGCGCTGCCTGGCTGATCTCCTGGAGGGACTCTCGCCAGCTGGCCTGGGTGTGTCGCGCTGTGCGGATCGGCGGCGCTCGCGCCGACGGGCTGCCGAGGCGCGGCTGCAGGACGGCATCTCGACGCTCAACGTGCTGGGCGGCCGCGGCGAGGAGTGGGGCCCCAAAGTGCTGCCAGGTGCTGTCCAGCGCCAGGCTGTGGCCAGCTTGGCCCGGGCCTACTTTGCCGTGCCGCCGCCGCCCGACGACCTCACCGCCTCGGGAGCGTGGTCTGCGCTTCTGGGCTGCGGTTCCGGCTACGCCGTTGCAGGTGTTGTCGCCGGAGAGTTCGCGACCTACCAGCGCGGCAGGCTTGCCCTGCCAGCGGTCGGTAACCAGGCGATCGACCTCGTCAGTTGCCTGCCCGACCACTGCCAGAAGTTGCTGGAGGATAGTGGCCGCGCTATTCGGCTACCAGCAGTGTGTACACAGGACGTGGCGGCAGAGGTGGACGAGTTGGGCCCTGCGATGGATCCCATCCTGGCTAGGTCGCCCAGCAAGTACGCCGAGTTTTTGATGTCTGCATACGAATCGGGTGTCGTCGAGCCGGCGACTGAGGTTCGCAGTTTTGTGGGAGTCTTCTTTGTGCGTAAGAAGGACGGCTCGTTGCGGATCATCTTCGATCCTCGAAAGACGAACTCGCAGTTTGTACCTCCAGATAGTGTTGCTCTGGCGTCTCCTGAGGCCCTGGGTGACCTTGAGTTGCCTGCAGGCCAGCGGTTGTGGGTCAGTGAGGGCGATGTCGAGAACTGCTGCTACCAGTTCCTGCTGCCTGACGACCTGAGGGCCGACTTCGTGTTACCTTCGGTGCCTCGGAAGCTGCTGCCGCGGAGTCTGCGCCGCTTGTTCCCGCCCGGGCACGACTTCGTTCACTTCCAGGTGCGCGTGGTGCCGATGGGCTGGAGCTGGGCCGTGGCGCTGGTGCAGGCGGCGAACGGGGAGCTGCTGCGAGCTGGTCCGCAAGGGGCCCGCCGCTGGATCTGCAATCGCCGCTGCGCGCCTGCTGTCGCCGGGCGTGAGCCCGCTGCTCTCCTGTACATCGACAACTTCGCCTCGCTGGGGACGGTGAAGGAGACAGTCCAGCTCGACGGCGACTCGATGGAGAGGCAGCTGAGGGGACGCGGTCTGACTACTCACGACGTCTCGGGGCCGCAAGTTGACGTGGACCTGCTCGGGTTCCACATCGACGGGGTGAAGGGGGCGATTCACATCGCGCCCAAGCGGTTCTGGAGGCTGGTCATGAGTCTGGACTATATCCTGAACCACCCCCTCCTGACGGGAGCCGAGCTAGAGCGGCTGATCGGGCATTTGACGTGCGTGCTGCTGCTACGACGCGAGGTGCTCAGCTTGCTCAGTGCGTCCTACGTCTTTGTCGGCAAATGCCGCTCTCGGCGCGTGCGGCTCTGGCCTTCGGTGCGCCGAGAGCTGACCTGGATGCGAGCGCTGCTGCCGCTGGTGTGGGCGGATCTGCGCGGCGCTTGGGCCCCCAGCGCGATGGCCGTGGACGCCTCGATGACTGGCTTGGGCGCGGTGGAGCGCTCCGCGGACCCACGCGACGTCGGGCGCATCGGCCGAGTTAGAGAGCGCTGGAGGTTCAAGGAGCGCGAGCTGGTTGCCGAAGGCTCGCGTGCACGCGCCTTGCGTGAAGGGGCCGTCGGCGACTCCCCGTTCCCCGACGTGCCGTCGGACTTCTGCAAGGCCGCCTCGTGGAAGACCGTGGCCTCGAGACGGTGGCGCCACCGTGCCCCCATTCACCTTCTGGAGGGCGAGGCGTTGCTGTGGGCCATGCGGCGGCAGGTGCGGCGAGTGGCGCATCATGGGTGCAGGCTTCTATTTTTGTCAGACAGCATGTGTATTTGCTGTGCAGTTGCAAAAGGAAGAGCCTCGGACTTCCCCATCCTCGCTCAGTTGAGACACTTCACAGCTCTTCAGCTCGCATCGTCTTGTCGTGTGTCAGTGCGATGGATTCCTTCAGAGTGGAACCCCGCCGACGGTCCTTCAAGGCGGTTCGAGCCTCGCCGTTTGCGGGGCGATGGAGCGCCGTCGGCTCGTGGCGGCCGCACCGAGTGCGCAGCCGCTGCCTGCTCCGAGTGCGCCGGCGATCGGCCATGGGCGGAAGCGCCTCCTGGGCTCGCCGGGCCGCGCGCGTTCGGTTCAGGCGAGGGCCAGTGCCAGACGCCCCCGGCCCGCTGCCGCGACCCGGAGGTCGACGGCCTTGCCGTGGCACCGCCTCCTGGGCTCGAGCGTGTCAGGACTGGGGCTGGAGGCGGTGGGGCCCTCTACCCAGCAGAACTACCTGAAGTGCCTCAGTGGCCTCTGCAACTGGCTCGGAGTGGAGACGCTGCCCAGCTGGAGCGCGCTGGAGTGGGACGACGCACTGCTGCAGTACCTGAACGACGAGTTCGCGCAGGGAGTGCGGCCGAATAGGGCTGCGAAGCTGTTGTCGGCGGTGCTCTGGGCACGACCGGCGCTGGGGCGGCCCCTGCGGGTGGTGTTGCCGAGGAGCAGCCGGGCGCTGCTGGGCTGGAAGCGCAAGCGGCCTGGCCGCTCTCGCCCACCGCTCCCTTGGCTGGTGCTCTGCGGCGTGCTGGAGCTCCTGCTGCTGAAGCGGGAGGTGGCGATGGCGTGCGCACTCTGCCTCATGTTCCACTGCTACCTTCGGCCCGGAGAGCTCCTGGCGATGGAGGCGTTTCAGCTGGTGCCGCCTGCGGCCGGGCTGCAGGGCGGGTTTCGCTGGTGGACGCTGCTGCTTCATCCCGAGGAGCTGCTGGTGCCCAGCAAGACTGGCGAGCTGGGCGACTCTCTGCCGCTCGACGTGCCCGAGCTCCAATGGCTTGCCCCCGCGCTCAGGGATCTGAAGGCGCGGCTGGAGCCCCGCGAGCCGCTGTGGAGTTTCGGCTACGCGCAGCTGCGCGAGGAGCTCGAGAACGCGCTGGCGGTGCTGGGACTTCAAAGCCTCGGTGCCACGCTGTGCTGCCTACGGCGCGGAGGGGCAAGCCACGATCGGATCGTGGGAAGGAGGTCGCTCGAGGAGGTGGCCAAGCGAGGCAGGTGGCGAGCTCGCCTGTCCGTGCGGAGGTACGAGAAGCACGGCCGCCTGGCGCTGCAAGTGGCGAAGGTGCCGCCCGTGGTGCAGGAGCGGCTGCGACTCAGCATGCAGAGGCTGCCGCAGCTGTTCGCCAGCTGCTCAACGCGACGCTCCACAGAGTGCGCCTGGGGCGGGATAGGGTCGCCGTCGAGGTCTTCGCGGGGTCAGGCCGCCTCGCCTCGGCGCTTCGTGCCGGAGGAATCCCCGCGGCCGAGTGGGACATCATTCGAGGAGCGCAGTTTGATCTCACCAAGGCGTCCAGTGTCGAAGTCCTGAAAGGATGGATTCTCAGTGGTGAGGTGAGCATCTTGTGGTTAGGAACCCCGTGCACTTCTTTCTCTTTGGCCTGTAGGTGCACCGAGTCTGGGCCAGGACCTTTGAGGTCCAAAGAGTTTCCTCTTGGACTGCCAGGCCTCTCCGGTCCCGATCAAATGCGAGTGCAGTTGGGTAACCGTTTGATGCGTGTCTCTGTTGTGCTTGCTAAGCTAGCTCGCACCAGAGGGATCCCTGGAGGGCTCGAGAATCCCGCTTTTTCTCGTCTTTGGCTGTGTCCGCCTGTGCTAGGTCTCGGTAGGCTCCCCAATGTTCATGATGTCTTCACGGACTTTTGTATGTGGGGTGAGCCGTGGCGTAAACGAACACGGCTTCGCCTCTGGCACGTTTCTCCGGAGCTTCTTGGGCGAAGGTGCCACGGTAAAGGCATTTGTGAGAGGTCCCAGAGGCCTCACCAAGTGCTTGAGGGCAAGGCCCCCGGTGGCCAGTTTTGGACAGCAGTAGCACAGCCTTACCCCAGGGCGCTGTGCAAGATTCTTGCCGAGTCTCTTGTAGATGCGTCAAATAATCGTAGGCTCTCTCGGTTGTGGGACATTTGTAAATGCTAGGCGGTATTACCAGTACACTAATGAATCTGGACGTGAATATGGCCCAGAGTTTTTTGCTTGTTCGATGCTGCTGCGTTCTGTTGTCACTGTTGCCGATGCCTCGCCCCAGCGCCCTCTCAAGCTTGTGCTGGAGAAAAATAGAAGGCCTTGGAGATAGTTTATCGGGTTGGCCTGTCAATTTGGTGATCCGCAACCGTTGGTTCTAATCAGCCGTGCGAGCCGCCCGACCCTCCCTCCCTTCTCTGCTCTTCCGCCTTTCAATCCCACACGAATTCAGAATTTAGCAGGCCCAGAGTTTTTTATTTGTTCGATGCTGCTGCGTTCTGTTGTCACTGTTGCCGATGCCTCGCCCCAGCGCCCTTTCAAGCTTGTGCTTGAGAAAAATAGAAGGCCAAAATCATTCAAAAACCGATGTAAAATTGACGATTTTGGCTCCTGGGGCCCTCTTGGGAGTGCTCTTGGGGCTCTCTTGGAGCGTCTTGAGGGCCTCTTGGGCCGTCTTCGGGCCGTCTTGGGCGTCTTGGGGCGATCGTTCGTCGAGTCGAGGCCCTCTTGTACCCTTTTGGGGGTGTCTTCTGGCGCTCTTGGCTCGTCTTGAAGCTTTTCTGAGCTCCGGGACCCCCCGGGGAGGATGCGTATCTGGGTGGCGACCCCCCCCGGCGACCCCCCCCGGCGACCCCCCCCCTCCACCCCCCCCCCCGGCGGGGAGGGTAGGGAGGGGCTTCGCCACGACTCAACTACGACGTTGCTCAATGTCGCTTTGGCTCGCGCGCTCAAGGAGAAGGGGAACGACGAAGACGACGAGGGACAACGGAGACGGAGACGACGAGGACACGACGGAGACGACGACGACGACGACGACGACGACGACGACGACGGTGATCCACGCAAGACGACGACACTGGGATGCGTCTTCCACACGCCGACAGGGTCTTCTTATTTGTGTGTCTTTATTTGTGTGTCCCAGGGCAACCTTCAGGGAAAGCGGCACAAGCACACAAGGGGTTTTGGAGCTCCGCGCGGACTTCGCGTGGGTCGGCGCCGAGGCCCCCCCCCCCCCCCCTGGCGCGCGGAGCCGCGCGCCAGGGGCGGCGCCAGAGGCTCCGCGGGGGGGGGGGGGGCAGCGCAGACCCAAGGAAGTCCGCACGGAGCGGGTTGTGCTGTATCTTGGTGGCCTCCAAACCAGGTGGTGAGACACCTGGTGGTGACCCCGATTCTCCAAAAAAATGGTTCTGGGTCACCACCGGGTTTGGGGATACGCGGTCGCCACGAGGTTTTGCGTTTCCTGGGCCAGCCAGCGCTCGAAAACCATTACCCAAATCGCCCAAAACTCACCACCGGGTGTTCTCACCACCACGTTTGGGGACCACCAAGTACCAGATTTCAGGGGCCTCCCTCGATCCCCAGCTCCATTTCAAGTGTGTGGGGGGGGGGGGGACGGGGAACACTGAACAGCACCTGGGAAGCTCGCACCTCCCTCAACCCGAAATTCCGGGTCTTCGGGTTTGGTTGGGGCGGTCCGGGCGTTCTCTCGGAGCCCTCCTGGGGCGTCTTGCGGGCCTCTTGTGCCGTCTTGGGGCCATTTCCGGCGTCTTGGAGCGCTCTTGGGCCTTCTTGGAGGCCTCTTGGACTCTCTTGGAGGCTTCTTGGGATACTCTCGGGGGTTCGGAGGTCGTTTTGGGCCGGCTCAGCTTCCGAGGACTCACGCGACACACCTTGGTAGCGCCAGGAAATCCTTTGGAGCGTCCAGAAATTCCCCGGAGCGCCCAGGAAACCTGGGGTCGGGGCCCTTAGGACTTTGAGCGGAACCTCCTTGAACATTTACAAGTGTGCCTTGGGACAGAGTTCACCACGTGCTGAAGGCACGGTGGCGGATTAGTGCATGCATCTTATCCATGGCATTGATGCGTAGTGCATGTGGACGCCTTCGTTGACCTTCCGTACCTCCTCTGGCTCAAGGTTTGACATCCCCGCGACCCGCACACGATCTTGCGTGCATTCTTTTCGCTACAAATCCATGCAAATCCCCACCTGCCGGCTAAATGGCTAGTCTCTTTGGGATTCTTTGACGCTGGCGCTTTCGGAGTCCGTCTTGGGGGGCTCTCCGGCTCGTTTTGAGACTCTCTGGGGGGCCTTGAGGGCCGCCTGAGAGCGCCCTTGGGCCGAGCTGGGGTCACCTTGGACCACTCGTGGGCCGTCTTGGAACCCTCTTGGTCTTTCTTGGGGCCCTGTGGGTGTCCTCCCGGGCCGTCCTGACGCCATCTTGGAGGCTTCTTGGGCTGTCTTGGGCCGACGAAAGCTCGAAGCGGCGAGAATGCGAACATCCTTGAAAGCCCAGGGACAATCAGATGTTTCGGCCTCTTCGGGCCTTGCTGGAGGCTCTCTTGGAGGCGGATGCTTCTTGGGCCGTCTCGAGGCATCTTGGGGCCATCTGAGGCCGTCATGGAGGAGGTCTCTTGGATCATCTTGGCGACCTTGGTGGCCACCAGCCCCATCCGCAGCCCTGACCAACACCTGGCCCCGATACGAATCATAATCCCAACATTGACCGTGACCTCAACCCTGAGCCGAACACGATCTGCAGCTCTGAATAAAACCCTACTTCAAACATGTCAAACTACTTACCTGGCAGTATCCCCGACCCGAAGCCCGACCCAAACTCGAGTGCCAACCCTGACCTTCCCCTTACCCGTACCCTGCCCCTCACCCAGACCTTGTGATCCTACCCTTAACCCTACACTTGACCCCAATTTACCTCTGACCCTACCGTCAGCCCTAGTTCGATTCCTGATCCTATGCAGTCCTAATCCAGCCAGATCCTGACCATAACCCTGATTCTGATGACATTGTAACCCCAGCCCTAAGTGGATATCCGATCTTACTCGAAAACTACCCCTCATCCTAACTCCAGCCCTGTCCCTAACCATGATACTCACCTCGCCCGCATCCTGACCCTACTCCTGACCCAAACTCTACCCCTCACCAACCTAGACCCCAACCCCAACCCTCACACTAGCCCTGGTCCGAATCACTAGCCCTGGTCCGAATCCCAACCCTCACATTCACCCCGCTCCTAACCTAACCCGTTTGTCCCAAAATAATCCTTCCCCTGACCCGATCCAAACCTGAGCCATGATCCTGTCTCGAATCCGACTCAGTCCCCACACGAGAGTGACCCCAAACCCGAACCCTGACCCCATGCGCAGCCCAACGCCAGTCCTAACCCTAACCACAACCTGGCCTTAGTCTGATCAGTACTACCCATGGCCCCACTCGAGCGTCCTGGACCAGGCCCCACCCTGCTCTCGCCACTCTCTTTGCCACTCTCTTTGCCGCACGCGTGCTCTGTGCTCTTCAAGCCATACCGTGCAGTCCACGTGCGATGTCCCGAACCAGTAGCCTGCATGACAAACGACCCGTCGGTCGTTGAAAGCAGATCTTTTTGGGTTCCCAGATCCCAGTCCACTCCAAGCGCCTTTCTACTTCAAGAATAATCGATGCGCTCTTGCTGTGTTTTGTTCTTCTCTGGGAGGGCCTGAGCCCAATCTACTTGATCCGCCTTCCTACTTTTATATTCTTACCTACTTCTTCCCATCGACGTGTACGGTAGGTTCGTGCGGCGATGGCGCGCCGGCGACGCCGGCGAGCGCGTTCAAGGTTGAATTCCGCGTGCTAGAACGACACCCGCCAGAATTCAACCTGGAACGATCGGGGCCGCGGTTGATCCAAGGCTGCATGATCGAGGTGGTGTCACAAACCTTTGCGCGCGCCGGCGGGCGCGGGCGCGGGCGCGGGCGTGTGCGCGGGCGTGGGCGTGGGCGTGGGCGTATGTCTGGGCGCGGGCGTGGACACAGGTGATGGCGCGTGCGCGCCCGCCTGCGCCGTCCGGAGGAGTAGGAGGAGGAGG